TTCTTTGTGGCAGCCCCTGAGATATTGGAACGTATCATGTCACCCCCCAGTCCTTCTTTCCATCAAACTAGAAATGCCCAATTCCTGCAACTGCTCTTCATAGATTTTAGCCTCCAGGCTCCTAATCATCTTTGTTGCTCTTCTCTGCACTTTTTCCAGAGTCTCAACATCTTTTCTATATCATGGCAACCAGAACTGGATGAAGAATTCCACGGATGGTCTTACCAAGGCATTATAAATTGGTATTGTTTGGGGGGGGGGCAGGTTTGAGGAGAGAACTTTAAATTTAAATTTCTCTTGCAATTCAGGATTCCCACTGAATAGCAATTATGCCACTTGTGAATTGATGCTTTCTATAAACAACAAAGATAAAAGGAATATTTTATTTTGCCTGGGATATCAGCATAATAATTACATTTGAATATTTATTGTATTGTGGTGACAATCATAATAAAAAAATCTGAATTTGAATTTTGCCACTTTGAAAGTCCAGTGTACATTAAGGACACTTCTGAGCATATACAGAACTCTTTGAGAGGGGGCTTTTTTCCTTGGGTTTTTTGCTGAGCCTCAGGAATTCACATATCAGATCATATTGACCTTTAAAGCAAGAAACCCTGTTAGTCTGTGATGGCAATAAAACTCAGACTTCTTAGCCTCTTTTCTGACTCCTGATGCATCAGTCCAGCCACTCTCTGCATTTCCTGAAGTCGGCTGCAGTTCATCCATTTTAGTCAAAATTTGGCCTTCACAAAAGGGGCAACCAGACTCCTCCTGATTCTTGTACTTTAGGAATTGTGAACAAAAGGAAATCTATTTCTGGTGCTGGGGGCAAGAAACAGGGAAGGCCTAAGAGAGGATCTGAGGGCATTTCATCAGGATTGGCCAACTCTTGTGATGGGATTCTATAGTTTCCATCACCTGAAGTCAGTTCTATGCTGTGGTCCCTGCAGCTGCACCTCAAACACTGGAAAAACCAATGGATGAAAGCTCAGGTATGCTCACACCTGGACACACCTGGGGCCAGATTCCTCTCCCACCACCTCCCAGCCTGCCAAAGAGCCCAGCCTTCCCCTCCCTGCAGCCTCTCACCTTCCAGGTCCAGGTCCAGAGGCTCCTGCAGGCCGTTGTGCTCTACGTGGCACCGATAGCGGCTCCTCTCTTTGGGGTCGATCCGGATGCTGAGCCAGTAGTGGTAGGTCCCATCCGCGTTGGGGGCCACAGGCGCATGTAAGGTCTTCTTCTGCCAGACCTCCCCATCCCTCGTCCAGAAGGCATCGATCTCCCTGGGGTAGAAGCCATCCAGGCGGCAGATGTGCGTCTCCATCCCATCCTCCACCTCTGTCTTGCCTCTCACTGCTACCCCTGGGGGCTCTGCAGAAACGGCACCCCCAGAATTAACTCTCAGCCCCTCCAGAGCTTGGAAGGTGGGCGAGAAACGTGGAGGGGCAGGAAAGTCTCCCACCACTTAGTTTTAACCCCAGGATTTATACTTCACACTTGCAGCATCTCCAAAAGTTTCAGGAAATGCTCCAAATCTGGGAAATGCTCAACCACAAGAACTCTTGATTTTCCCAAATTGAGGGTCCAAGAAAATTCCTCTCTGACTTTTTTGAACTCTGACTGATCTTGGGCTGCAACCTTCAAGGGAGGGGGAGTGGAGATGATCTTTTAAGTTCCCTTTCAAGACAACCACAAGACTGCTTCCGGTTTGCAGGCTTCGGCGGCGGCAGGAATCCGCGACTGTGCACGGTTCCTGCTGCGCTTGCTGCCGAAGTGCCTCCGATCCAGCTGGATCTGGAGGATATGGTTGCCCCGTAGAGGCAACCGAAGAGAGAGGAGATCCGGGCAGGGGCTTGGGGGTATCGCAAACCCCCTCCTCAGCCGGCTAAACTCCTTTTCCCTAGGCGGTGGAGTGGCGGTCAGCAATGGCCGCCACAAAGAAGTCTGCAGCCGGGTAAGATTGTGCAGGAGGAAGTTGGAGAAAGTGAAAGTTTTTTGGCTGAACCAGGACAAGGAACTTTTAGAAACCCTGGAATCTTAATTGTTTGAATGATACATTGTTTCCTAAGAAGATTGGAAAGCGGCGGAAGAAAAGTGAAAGGGAAAGTTATTTTTTCTCACTCTCCCTCCCTATGGAAATAGCTGATGGAAATCGGAAAAACCTGCTTGGGCATAGAAGGTAATCAAATTTTAAACTTAAAGCCAAGAGGATAAAAGATTTCTGAACATCGGAATCAAAAACTAAAACTTTTTTTGCTATAAGTGGGAGGGAAGAGGTAAAGAATTTATTTTAAGATTGTATTGAAGGAGACTGCTTGCAGCTTATAAGATTAGAAATAAATGACAATAAGACTTCTATAAATTACTTTGGGACTGTGTAATTGAACTCTACCCCAGGAAGAGAAAATACAAAAAAAAAGAAAATGCTAAATGAAACAATTTATTCTGATTTGGATTGCTTTATGACTTTTGGATTTTTGGGAACTATTTCTTGAAGGATTAAAAACATTTGGGTTGTTTTTAAGGAAAAAAAATGGCACTATCGGTTGAAGAATTACAAATGGAATTTCAAAAGCTAAAAGAAGAGGAACAAGAAGGCAAGGGCTCTTCTGGATCTATTTTTCACTTTTTAGAAATGGCGATTTCTACCTACCAAGAAATACAACAACCAGAAGGCTGGGATGAAGGAGAAGAAGCCATCTTTAATGGACAGACTATCTCACTTGAAGAAGAAAAGAGAAATGGGGGAAAGAAAACGGAGAATTCAGAACTTAAAAAAGCAACCAAGAAAGGGAAAAATAAGATGAAAAATTGATACAATGTCAGAAAGCAACAGAAAAGAGAAATACAACAGAGAGGGAAGATTAAGAGAGTGGAGTTTGAGAGAAGGGGGGGGGTAAAAAGGCTAGAATTGATAAGAAAGGAAGGGAAAAAGGAAAGAGAAGTCATAAAGGTTTAAAACAAGATGTTATAAAACAGGTTTTTTTCAGCGATAAAGGGTAAACAATAATTTAAAAAATGATTCTGCAAAAGTACATAAGATTCTATTGTAGATATTAGCATTTGAAATTGAGTTAGAAAACTGAAATATTATATGAGTTAATAATGCATTAAAGAGAACGTATAAAAATGTTTAAGATTTAACAATGGAGTTTAACTTTTTATGGAATATTGTCTTTACTATTTTATAAACCTAATTCTCTCTTTTTTTGTTTTATTATTCTAAAATGTGATACTTAGAATGTACTAAGCAGAATCAGTATGGAAAGTATGTATTATTTTAAGCGTTAAATTTAGGGGAAAGATAAAAAGTTGTCATACTTCAACTAGTGATTACAGGAGAAATATTGTACTAGAAAGAAAAGAAAAATAGATAATTGAAAGAGAACGGACAAAAGATGCAAGTATAATTATTTAAACTGAGATGAAATAAATAAAATAGAATTAAGAGAGTGAATGAACAGAGAAAATATATAGAAAATATAGAATGTTAAATAAGATATGAAATAGTATATTAAGTGAGCATGAACTTGATTTATGTCTGTATAAAAAGATGTTACCCGGGGTAAGCCGCTTTCCAAAAAGAAGTTTTATGTATTTATCTTTTGTGTTTTGTTTGTTTATCAAAACGTTAGAAGAATGTTGGAAGAGAATAATGAAATTTTAAATAAGACAGATGGATATAATGAATATATACAATTTAAGGCAAAAGAAATATAATTGAATAGAAGGAAAGGGAGAAATAAAGAGAAGTTGGGAAAAGATATGAAGTTAAAAAGATAAGATGAATATGCATATTAAACTGTGCTGGTATGGAAATGTGATAATTTGGAATTATCCTGTCTTTAAATAAGATGTTCTATTTGTTTTCTTTAGAAAAGATGTCCTATGTTATTATTCTATGTTTTGTTTGTTGGTGTATTGTTTTTTTAAAATTAATAAAATTTGTTTAAAAAAAAAAAGACAACCACAACAACACAGAAGTTGCTCCCTACTTCTTGGTTCCTCTTCTTCTCCCCTGAATCTGAGGCTGCTCCAGGCCTCTTTCCAAGGGACACAACCACAATGTTATGAGCAAGAGAGCCAGAATCAGAGCAAAAAGGGGCTCAGGGATTTTGGAATTTCTCACTGATCTGTTTGGAAAACAGATTTTGTCTCTCAAAAGG